TCCTCAGCATCAATCTCATGGTAAGTGGAGACGAAGCTTCAGCTGGATAGTCCCCACTCAATTCAGTTTTGAGGGTGCCTGCATAGCTATGTTAGGAAAATGCGAAGGTATTTTCTGGACCTGATGGGATATACTTTTAGGAGTTTCAGTGACCCATCCACTTGACTCTTCCTCTTTAAGAATCATCTGGGGTAAGACATACGAATACTAATACACTCGATATTCTTTAAAAAAAATGCTAAAGGAAGTTTCTCCTGAGTTTCCTTCTCTGTGCATCTAGGTCTGAATCAGACAACTAGCCCAGGAAAGCAGCAGGTTCTTTCAGATTTTCTTCTCTCAGATTTTACTGTTTCATATAAGGTCACCTCAGATTTCTTATTTGGCCCTTCTACGGATTAACTGGTCTCAAAGAAAGACAAGGAGGGAGATGAGTAGGACAAGCTCTTTTCTCCTTTTAACTATCAGGGCCTTAGAGCTGGGGGTTTTGCATACCTCAGATATAAGCAATCTGACAGAAAAATCTGAGAAATTGAGGACATACCCATCAGTTCTCTTATTTTTCATGTAAATAGTTACATTTAGCGGCTTATCCTGTTTTAGAGGATTGCCCTTCTAAGACTGAAAACACGAAGATCAGAGTCTTACCCAACAACTATCTCTATGCTTCCAGAAACAGCAAGGCAATCTGAAGACTACTGTCAATCTGTGGACCAGCTTAATAGAAGGAATCTCTATGAATACTACTTAGAAGTGCCAAATTGAAGGAAAGCAGAAAAAATAAAAGATTAGATACTCTCACTAACTAAACCCAAAATACATTATTAGCATAATTTATCTAGAATTCTTACCACATGTTAGAAGCTCCTGTTTAACGGATGTTACTAGTTGTGACTGCAATGACTTGGGGTAGGCACATTTAGTTTCACGTACTGTTATATTTCTTTCCTTTAACCACTGAGGCATCCACAAAATGTTACAGTCACATAGAAGATAATCAGTCTGAAATTCTCTGTAACACACAAGAGAGAGATAATCACAAGAATATATTTAATATTCAGTTTTTCGTTTTCCCTCATTTTAGTTTTAGAATGCCTATCACAACTTACTACTAATTTTGCATTCTGTCATATTACAGCCTTTTTTAGGGAAGCTCTGTTTTTAGTCTGTGAGGACATGGAAAAGGGAAGATGCCCAAAGACTATGGAGACTGGTACCTGTATGCCCTTCCTAATTTCCATTTCTTGTCTACGTAAATGAATGCTCAATCAGATTCTGAAGGTGAATGGAAGAATTCTTGCTGGGATCCTCTAGCTGATAGGCAGCAGTCTTGATTCTTTGGAGCTCTTATGCCCAGAATTTAATTATTTTCCCTGCATCTCCTAAGAGGGAAGCATTATCTGAGTCTATACAGAGGTGGTCAACCCTGAAGAAAAATTACAATGCCAGATATGGGTCATCTGGTAAATACCAGGATTTGGCTGTCTTCTGACCATAGAGCTCTGAGGCTAGTAGTAATTCAAAACCTGCCAGATAAATCATATTCCTGCACTTAAAAGGCAAGGATTACCCTGGCATTGAATTCACAGTAGCCTGTTGAGGAAATCTCTAAAGAGAAAGGAAGAGGGAGTTCTATTATCAACTGCTGTGGCAATTGGGACTGAGTGCTTGACCCTTTGTTCCCTCAATTGCTCTCTTGATTGCATCTGGTCAGCATTCCTCTGTGTGACTCATGAGGGGGCAGGCCTGGCCTAGGAAAGCAGGCTTTAAAAACCAGAGGCAGAGCGACTAGGGAGCGAAAGCGGACAGGGGGCTGCAAACAGGGGAGTTTGACAGAGGGAGGCCTACTACAGTCAGGAAGACCTGCAGCACTTGTGCCAGCACTGCTTCTGTCTCCTCCACCTGCACCTGTAGCCGAACAGAGCGCCTGAGCATGGATGCCTCTACCCAGATCCTGGTGTGGTTTTGCAGGGTCTGCAGCTTGCAAATCCCACTTACTGATCATCCTATGCGAAAGGTGCCTGCTGGTGGAATCTCTCAGGCAGCAGGTGGGAGAGCTACAGGAGGAGGTGGCTAGGCTGAGGAACACCCGAATCCACGCACAATTCCTGGACCATGTTCATGAGGAGACAGCTGAGGTAGCTGTCCCATTACACAGGACTGCAGGCACACCGCTGGTGGAGGAGACAGCTCAGGGTGGACACGGGCAGCTGGTTACTTCTGGCAGCAGGCACTGCTCCACCCCTGCTCTGAACCCTCCCACCGCGGTACTAGGAAACCGTTATGCTCTTCTTTATACAGGAGTTAAGGAATCACACCCTACAACGGAGAAGGAGAAGCCTCGTACCCCCAAGGCTGGGAGATCTGCTGCCACCACTGTGAATAGGAAACGTAGGGTAGTGGTAGTCGGAAACTCTCTTCTGACAGGGACGGAGGCACCCATCTGTTGCCCTGACATTTCATCTCAGGAGGTATGCTGTCTGCCGGGGGCCCATATCCGAGATGTTACGGAGGCATTGTCGAGGATTATTCAGCCCTCTACTACTCCATGCTACTCATCCATGTGGGCACAAATGATACTGCGAGGTGTGACACTGAGCAGATCAAGAGTGACTATAGGACTCTGGGAGTACGGGTAAAGGAGTTTGGAGCGCAGGTGGTATTCTCTTCAATCCTTCCTCTCGAAGGTAGGGGCCCGGGCAGAGACAGCTTCATCCTGGAGGTGAATGCCTGGCTGCAAGGATGGTGTCGCCAGGAGAGCTTTGGCTTCCTCGACCACAGGATACTATTCAGGAAGGACTGCTGGGCACCTTTCGAGGAGGGGGAAGACCCTCCTTGGACACAAAGTGGCTAACCTAGTGAGGAGGGCTTTAAACGAGGTTTAAAGGGGGATAGGTAAGCAAAGCCCTCAGGTAAGTGGAGAACATGGAGACCTGGGAGATGGGTCGGAAATGGGAAGGAGCATGGGCTATAATGGCAGAGAGAAAGGAGGGTCAGGGAAAAACTGGGAAGCAAAGTCAAATCAGTATCTTAGATGCTAATATGCAAATGTGAGAAGTATGGGTAATAAGCAGGAAGAACTGGAAGTGCTAATAAATAAGTACAATTATGACATTGTTGGCATCACAAAAACTTGGTGGGATAATACAGATGATTGGAATGTTTGTATGGAAGGGTACAGCTTGCTCAGGAAGGATAGACAGGGAAAAAAAAGAGGTGTTGCCTTATACATTAAAAATGAACACACTTGGAGTGAGGTGAAGATGGACATAGTAGACGGAAGTGTTGAGAGTTTCTGGGTTAGGCTAAAAGGGGTTAAAAACAAGGGTGATGTCATACTAGGAGTCTACTACAGGCCACCTACCCAGGTGGAAGAAGTGGATGAGGCTTTTTTTAAACAACTAACTATATCATCCAAAGCCCAAGATTCGGTGGTGATGGAGGACTTCAACTATCCAGATATATGTTGGGAAAATAACACAGTGGGGCACAGACTATGCAATAAGATCTTGGACTGCATTGGAGACAACTTTTTATTTCAGAAGGCTGAAAAAGCTACCGGGGGGGAAGCTGTTCTAGATTTGATCCTAACAAATAGGGAGGAACTGGTTGAGAATTTGAAAGTGGAAGGCAGCTTGGGTGAAAGTGATCATGAAATCATAGAGTTCACAATTCTAAGGAAGGCTAGAAGGGAGAACAGCATAATAGAGACAATGGATTTCAGGAAGGCGGATTTTGGTAAGCTCAGAGAGCTAATAAGTAAGGTCCCATGGGAATCAAGACTGAGGGGAAAAACAACTGAGGAGAGTTGGCAGTTTTTCAAAGGGACATTGTTAAGGGCCCAAAAACAAGCTATTCCGCTGTGTCGGAAAGATAGAAAATATGGCAAAAGACCGCTTTGGCTTACCCATGAGATTTTGCATGCTCTAAAAATAAAAAAGGAGTCATATAAAAAATGGAAAGTAGGACAAATTACAAAGCATGAATATAGGCAAATAACATAGGAATGCAGGGGCAAGATTAGAAAGGCAAAGGCACAAAATGAGCTCAAACTAGCTATTGGAATAAAGGGAAACGAGAAGACTTTTAATAAATACATTAGAAGCAAGAGGAAGACCAAGGACAGGGTAGGCCCACTGGTCAGTGAGGAGGGAGAAACAGTAACAGGAAACTTGGAAATGGCAGAGATGCTTAATGACTTTGTTTCGATCTTCACCGAGAAGTCTGAAGGAATGACTAACATAGTGAATGCTAGTGGGAAGGGGTAGGTTTGGAAGATAAAATAAAAAAAGAACAAGTTAAAAACCACATAGGAAAGTTAGATGCCTGCAAGTCACCAGGGCCTGATGAAATGCATCCTAGAATACTCAAGGAGCTGATAGAGGAGGTATCTGAGCCTCTAGCTATCATCTTTGGAAAAGCATGGAAGACAAGAGACATTCCAGAAGACTGGAAAAGGGCAAATATAGTGCCCATTTATAAAAAGGGAAATAAGAACAACCCAGGAAACTACAGACCAGTTAGTTTAACTTCTGTGCCAGGGAAGATAATGGAGCAAGTAATTAAGGAAATCATCTGTAAACACTTGGAA